TTAAAAAACTGAAGATGACTCAGAGAAATGGAAAAAACATTCCATGTTCATGGATCAGAAGAACAAATATTGTTAAAATGTCGATACTACCTAAAGCAATCTACACATTTAATGCAGTCCCTATCAAAATATCCCCAGCATTTCTCACAAAGCTAGAACAAACAATCCTAAAATATGTACAAAACCACAACAGACCCCAAATAACTAAAGTAATCTTGAAAAACAAAGCTAGAGGCATCACAATTCCAGACTTCAAGCTATATTACAAAGCTGTCGTTATCAAGACAGTATAGTACTGGCACAAGAACAGACACTCAGACCAATGGAACAGAATAGAAAACCCAAAAATGGACCCTCAACTATATGGTCAACTAGTTTTTGCAAGGCAGAAAAGAATATCCAATGGAAAAAGACAGTGTCTTCAACAAATAGTGTTGGGAAAATTGGACAGCAGCATACAGAAGACTGAAACTGGACCACTTTCTTACACCATACACAAAAATAAACTCAAAATGGATGAAAGACCTAAATGTGAAACAGGAAGCCATCAGAATCCTAAAGAACAACACTGGTAGCAAACTCTTTGACATCAGCTATAGCAACTTCTTACTAGACACATATATGGAGACAATTTCTTACTAGACACATGTAAGGAGGCAAGAGAAACAAAAGCCAAAATGAACTATTGGTATTTCATCAAGATAAAAAACTGCACGGTGAAGGAAGCAATCAGTAAAACTAACAAGCACCCTATTGAATTGGAGAAGATATCCGCAAATGACATATCTAATAAAGGGTTAGTGTCAAAAATCTATAAAGAACTTATCAAACTCAACACCCAAAAAATAAGTAATCCAGTTAAGAAATGGGCAGAAGATATGAATAGACATTTTTCCAAAGAAGACCTACAAATGCCCAATAGACACAAAAACAGATGCTCAACATCACTCATTATCAGGGAAATAAAACTCAAAACCATGATGAGATACCACCTCACACCTATCAGAATAGCTAAAATTAACAACACAGGAAATGAAAGATGTTGGCAAGGATGTGGAGAAAGGGGAACTCTCTTACACTGTTGGTGGGAATGCAAACTGGTACAGCCACTAGGGAAAAACAGTATGGAAGTTCCTCAAAAAGTTTAAAATAGAACTACCCTACAATCTAGCAATTACACTATCAGATATTTACCCAAAGGATAAAAAATACTGATTCAAAAGGACACATGCACCCCTATGTTTATAGTAGCATAATCAACAATAGCCAAGGAAGGTTGTCCCGTTGTCAAGCATGACCTTTATAAAATATAAAAAGAAATATTTCTTTAGTTAAGGTGGAGAGGACAGCATTTTAGATAAAGACTTGGAGCCATGAGATAGGACAGAGCTTATCACATTCTCAGAATGGAACAAGTGACCAACTGGGTTAATGGCATAAAACAAAGTCAAATAGAGTGTAAGGTACTTCAAGGCATCTTTGTGGAGATACGTGGTGCATAGGTAGAAATCAGTGTAGTTTAGGAGAGTGGATAGAATTAGAGGTAAATCTTGGGAATTGACATATGGAAACTGACTTCGTTAGAAGCCAAAGAAAGGTAAAAGAAGAAAGCCAAGGACTGTAACTTTGGAAAACACCAATAATTATGGAGGAGGTCCAATATTTAAGGAAGAAGAAGCAGAGAAGGAACAATCAGAAGTAAAAGAGGAAAAATGGAGGAGATACTGTGATATGATAGAAACCAAGAATATGCAATCCTACACCAATTAGTCCAAGTTAAAAGTAGGCACCTTGGTGATATGAAATCATTTTCACTGAAATGGGAAATACAAACCACAGATCAGTTTAAGGACCCCTTTAGGGCAATGGTACATTTGGAATGACATGGCCTTAATGCACCAAAATGGCCTTTCAATTTGTTCCAATAGCACCAGGGACTGGAAATTGAGATAACTCATAGAAACTTTAGTACCCATGCCCCTAAGCCATGCAGATTTGCTTAACAAAGTGTGAAATGCAGAGTAGATACAGCTTTCTCATTTCTAATTCCTTCCTCACATATATTCGTCGCTCGATAATAAAAACAGATCAGTGAACACAAATGAGGGAGGGAAAGAAAGAAATAAGTAGGGGATATAGCAGAAAGAAGAAGACATAAGACTACCTGCCACATTTCTTTGTTTTTGTTTTTAAGAGAGGAGGATTTGATTCATAGTAATATTGACAGAGATGAAAAGTTGTTGAATTTAGCTTTGTTTTTGCTTATCATTTTCACAAATCATTGTAGAAGACAAGAAGGAAAAAAATTCTATTGGCAGTTGCCTTAATAATTGAAGAAATGTCAGGATTAGGACTAAGTTTACTGACCTGCCTAATCCTCAAGATGACTCCTAAACATATTGAGTGGGTAGCTTGAACTGTTTCAAAGATTATTTGGGAATTTTCCCAGAATTAATTGCAAGAATTAATTTGAATGTCAGAATACCCTTAATAGCCTTGGATAGATCCTTCTACTCAAGAACTCTGAACATTTGAAGCTCACTAAGGGTTACCTCACTCTACATGAAGCTCTTGCATTTCTACACTTCCTCCAAATTAGCACATAAACCAACCACAAAAGCTTGGTTTGATCTTATTTTGCACATGCTGTCAGACCTTGTTCTCTGAGGAAAGTCTACTTCATTTGAATGCTAATTAAACTTGCAGGAAAAGCTTAAATTAGCCTAGAAATATGCAAGAAATTGTGGAAGTTTTGGTTCGTTGATTATGCCAGATCTCCTTGGAAAATTATTGAAATGATCATTAAAAAATAATTAAAAGTGCTGAGCTATATTTAAGTGCCCATTATGTACTTCTACCACCAGTCAGTTGTAATAACTGCCTTTGAAAAATCATTCCAGTTCCTTGAGAATTATTTCATGCAAAGAATATGGAATATGACCCCATCATAATCATTACTTCCTAGAATATTTTGTGAAATAGTAATATGCAGACACTTTCCATTTTTAAAAAAATAATTCATAGCTTTTTATTGATTTTTAAGAGATTGGTGTTGATACTGGATTTATCATATGGTCTATCTGTATATATTCTACAGAGTCAGGTGACATAACGGCTGCTAATTCTAATGTTTTTATCTGCCAGCCTTGTATGTCTGCTCAAGATACCTAACTTTTCAAGCTTCTACTATCAATTTTTAAATAGCTTTGACCTCACTGGGATTTTTGCAGGAATTGTATGAGTTAATATCTATGAAAATACTTTGCAATTATAAAGTAGCATGTCTGATAGAACAAATATAGGTATTAAGATAAGGAGCAAAGTAAATATCAGATATTATTATGATTTTTAAAAGTACTATGCAAATGTAATATATTGTTACTAGCATTGATATTATGGAAATAACTGTAATAAGATCCATCTATTGGAAATTCTACTTTGATCCATGTTTGAGAATAAATACATGCTTAATATTCTGCACAATGCAAAATTTAAAAATACTTCTTGCATTGCTCAGTTAGGAGATGCATGTTCTAGGCTTCCTTTTGCCTCTGATTACTGTCATGGAGCTTTGGCTAGTCAAATGGGCCAATCTATGCCTTTATTTTTCTTTCTCTATAATGGAAATAGTAGTACTTACTCTACCTTCCTCATAAAAATAATGATGAGATAAAATGAGAACATCAATGTCACAGATATTAACTAAGAGATAGAATCTGAAAACTTTAAATTCTGCCTAACAATTATAATACAAAAACTCTTGTATTAAAAGACTTCAAAACTCCATAGAAAATGGTTAAACTGTATTTCCCTCATTCATTAATGAGTGCTTATATCATAAGCCCTATGCTCAGCACTGGAACAAAGTAAACATTGTCTCAGCCATCACAGAGAATGAACTATAATCAACATTGTTTAATCCTGAGTTAATTTTAATGTATTCTAATCTTTTGAAAATATGGCTAAGAAGAATATTTAATTAATTCAAATAACTTAGTCCCTTCCTGAACCAAGTAAGTAAATTTGTTGTTTTCATGCTATTATTTTATAGCTCAGGGTGATCAAGACCCAATTCACTAAGACTTATAGGTGCTATTATCTAAATAGTTTGCCTGGTAATAGGCAAACTGGCTTATTTAGAATTTAACAGCTTTTCTTGACCCAATTGCAATTTAGATATCATGTAAAACATATTTATTCTTTTTGCATCTTGGAGTGAGAAGAGATGTTCCAAGGATCTCACAACCATCCATTAGTTTGGTGATTTGCATGATTCAACATAAAGTTATATTTGTGGCTTAAGATTTATTACAGCAAAGCATACAGTGCAGGAACAAGATGAAAAAGTTATACATAGGCAAAGACTAGAAAATACAGGTACAGGCTTCCTAAGTCCTACTTCTGAGAAGGTCATAAGGATACATTTTTCTCTTCAGCTGTTGACTTAGAGATAAGAACAAAATGTCTCCACTGGGATGCCCATCAGAGTCTTGGAGTCAAAGGTTCTTAAATGGGGCTAAAATAGCTTAAAGGTCTCCTGTGCTCCAATTACTAAACTCAGACATCAGTGCTATAAGCAGAAGAGTAGAGTTGACCTTTGCATGGCTGTAGCCCATGCTCTTTTGATAGACCAAGCACCTTCTTCAAAGCACAGCAGTGGTCACCAATGTCAGGATGATTATGCTTACAACCAGTTATTTCCTCTACCTATACCCATTCCTGAAACAATGTGCTGACTGAAACCTCTTTACCTGCCCAGTGGTGGCATACAGTGCTCACATGTTGGGAAGCAGAATTTTCCTAATAATTTCCTTTCATGGGATATGTCCTTTGAACCAATCTCCAAAACTACCTCAGGTCTTAAGACAATTACTTTTACATTGATATTTCTTGCTTTTTTATTTATAATTATTCATCTAGAATAGTTAATGTTTCTAAATTTGGGGCATACTTGTAAAGAATAAAATTACTTCCATTTCCCGTTTATATTTGGCATACAGGGAGAAATTGGCAAGGAAATGTATATCATCAAGCAAGGAGAAGTCCAAGTTCTTGGAGGCTCTGATGGTGCTCAAGTTCTGGTTACTCTGAAAGCTGGAGCAGTGTTTGGAGAAATCAGGTATTTTAAAGACATATCATAAATATTTAAGTCTATCATCTGTCATAAAAGAAGAATCTTAGGTCATAAAATAACTAAGGTTTATGCTCAAATTTGGCAAAGGTTTGATTGTTCTGAGAACCTTGGTAAAATATGGATTTTCACATTTATTCTTTATCCCTTCTTCCCCTAAGGACCTAGTTCATTCAGCTCTTTAGTCCCAAGACCTAGGTCAGTGCCTGACCTAAAGTAGATGCTCAGTATATGTTGAATGAATATGTGAATGTATGAATGATGAAAGAAGAAGCTGGGAAAGTTAGTTGTCAAATTGTTGGAAAACTTAAATGTCAGGCTAAGATAGCAGTTTTGAGTAGGTCAAGGAAGTGAACAACAAACAGATTTTACAGGTCTTTTAAGCAATGGTAAGAAATTCGTATTTTATTCTAAATATAAATGGATACCAGTGGAGGATTTTAGGCAAAAGAATGATACAGTTTGAATTCTGATTTTAAACGACCACTCCAACAGCTATGTGGAGGAACGACAGTAGAGGAACAAGAATAAAACAGAGGAAAGTAATTGAAAGTCAGTTATGGGGATTCAAGTGAAAGATGATGAAGTCTTAAACTAGGATTCTGGATCTTAAGGTGAAGAGAAGAGTGCACTGTTAGGCAGTTAAAGATATATCAATTTCAAAATTGAGAAAATTGTAATTGCAAAGTGTCTATTATCTTGTCCATGATAACATAGCTAATAAGTGAACGGGACAATATTCAAAACTGGGATTTGTGGGTTAGGGTCCAGTGATCTTTCCACCACAATACAGAAGAAAGATGTTCATCCAAACTCTGATTTCATAGCTAAGAAGTTATCTTCAGGGTTCCAAAGATATGGATAAATTCAGATGACTTCGCGTTAGTGGGGTTACCTTAAAATTTGAAGTATGTTATTTCTTGGTTGATAATGTGGATTCTCTTTTTTTTATTTTTCTCCTTGCTTAAAACAGATTTCTGCTTTAGGGCAGTGATGAAAACACTTCTTGGAATATCCAAGATTTTAGTTCTTTGCCTTTTTTCTGTTGCTTCCTTACTGGGAGTCCTGGCAAAAGTGATTTAATATTTTAGTGACTTAATAACCACTGTAATCTTCAAGGTCATAAAACATGCAGCAGTCTAATCTGAAACACTGCAGAAATTAATTAGGTGACCTCTCCCAAGGGTTGAGTACTCCCTAAAGAATAGTCTTATAAATACAAGTATGTTAATTGCTGATATTATCATCACAGGAGGAAATAGTCCAGGAATAGAATTCAGGTGCTGCTGAGCTACAATGGAAAAGAATCTTAGATTCTTGACAAGAGCTTCTTAAATAAAGCTTCTATAACCCATTTGCTTTTTAAGGCCAACTTGAAGTCAGTAGAACAGACAAGCTCAAAACTTGTTCAATAGTCTGGTTGATTCAAGGAAAAAGGAGCTTTTTTACCTTGATTCTCCTCTTGGCTATAGTTGAGGAGAAACAGGATGCATCTGGCTCTTCCCAGATACCCACAGGCTTCACAGGCCACAGCTGTCATATGCCCCTGGAGCTCTAGTTATTTATTCCAGTGATGGAGGCATGCCTGCCAAACATCTAGATACTGGAAAGATCTGGTAATCGTGTTTACTACTCAAAAATGCTGTGACCTTTGTTAAAATGAGCTACATCCAACACTATCATGTAGCTATTTAAAGAAGGTTTTTTTTTTTTTCCTGAGGAAAAAAAAAGAAAAGAATTGAGGGCTTTCAGGGACGTTATATATGAATCTCGAAGAGGAAATCCCTGACTAAAATGTAGATTTACAACCTTTCATGGAGAAAACACAGGCCACACTTACAGTTAATATCTGAAGAATGCAGACACCCCAGTTTTAATAGAGTCTGCCAAAGGATGACTCTATTGGCAGACCCTAGGGTCTGCCAAAGGATGGTCTTATAATAGTCTTGACTCCATTGTTTTCCTTACACATACACAAAGTACCAAGTCTTATTCACCAAATGTATTTAACCACTTCCTATCCTCATTCTATATCTAGCCATTCTTAAAACACATTTGGACTTTTGCCATTGGTATTGCTATTGTGATTTCAGTAGAATTCCCTACTGGTTTCATATCTGTTTGTAATGTCTTCCCTCTGAAAAATACCTACTCACTCTTCAAGACTCAATTCAAGGGTCACTTTTCTGAAGCCATCTCTACCTCCAGAACATCTAGTTGACCCCTATTCTGTGCTTCCATAGTATGTTTTTCATGGCTTTAATATAGTAGTTACCACTGATTTATAATTAATTTGTAGAGATGAATCTCCCCAACAGATGAAGCTATTAAATATAATAACTAGTACTGTCCATCTTTATGTCACAAGCAACTATATAAAAATAATTCAGGGGCACCTGGGTGACTCTCAGTTGGTTAAGTGTCCAACTCTTAATTTCAACTCAGGTCATGATCTTACATTTTGTGGGATCAAGCACCTCATCGGGTTTTGCACTGGCAGCATGGAGCCTGCCTGGGATTCTGTCTCTCCCTCTCTCCTCCCTGCCCCATGTGCATGTGCTCACTCGCTCCTGGGTGGCTCAGTTGGTTAAGCATCTGACTTTGGCTCAGGTCATGATATCGCAGTTTGTGAGTGCAAGCCTTGCGCTGGGCTCTGTGCTTACAGCTCAGAGCCTGGAGCCTGCTTCAGAGTCTGTGTATCCCTCTCTCTCTTCCCCTCCTCCACTCACACTCTGTCTCTCTCTCTCAAAAATCAGTAAACATTAAAAAAAATTTTAATATAATATAGGCCTATGACATCACCAAGATGCCAATATAAGTTCTTCCTGACTTTGCTTCCCCTCACAACAGCAACTAACAACTATTTAAAAACAGGACATCACTGAGAGAATCCTGGATCACAAGGGTGAGTCTGCAACACAGAGACCAAGAGCCTGAATTAGAAGGGTAAGAGAAATGGCTACACAGTGACCACATTGCCCCATGTGATGCTAGCATAGCACCATGCAGAGAAGTCTCCCCTGAGCCTCCAGTTCCTCCAATGTGAAAAGAGAACCCAAGAAGGACAACCATCTCCAGCCCCAAACCATTGTGGGAACCCATAATTTGATCTTTCACCACGGGGATTGCAGGAGAATCTGTGAGAATCTGTGTGTCTCGATCACTAGGATTCTGACTATGATAGAGAAGATAGGGGAGACTTGCAATAGCCAGCAAGTAGATCTTGGCAAACTAAGTTCATATCTCCCATGCCTAAGTAGTAATCCCGAGCTGTGGCTTTGCTCTTCTGTAGAACCAAATCCAGAGTGCACTCTGACCAGGGAACTCAGTGAAGTTCAGATATGTCTGATTCAGATCCTCAAACAAGGAAGTTTGAAGACCCTAGAGCCTCATTTGTCCTTGCCCAGGCAAGGAGCTAAATCACAGTTCCACCCACTGTGGAGAGTCTTCTGGCCCTATTTGACCAGAAGGGCTAGTGACAATTACTGGAAACAGTGTGGGCCAGTGGCACTCAAGCCAAGAGTGGAGCTGAATGCCTGCAGAAAAGCCAGTACCAAGCATGGAGCGTTCTCATGATATGCACAGGCAGGGGGATTAATTTATAGCCAAGGCTAAGGGTAGCTCCCCTCAAGCACAGAGCGTGTTTGGGAAATTTAGAGTAGCTTAGAGCAGTCCCTTCTCCTTCCCCTCAGACAAGGGAGCTAAGACATAGCCCTACCTGTTGTGGAAAGTGTCATCTGGCCCCATCTGGCCATTAAGGGCTGGAGACAACTTCTGGAAACTATACAGGCCCAGTGGCACTCAAACAACTCAGTCAAGGAGACACGTATTGCTAATAGTTTACAAAGCAAAGCCAGTGGTCCTGTTTGATCAGGGAACTTGGGGTTCCTGTTGGCTTGAGTTATCAAACAATGAGCTTTACCTGCTTCTACAGCTGCTTTTCCTGCTGTGCCCAGATAGGGAATCTAATTCACAACCCTGCTATTGCTGACTACAGCCTTCAGCCTATCCAACTAGGGAACCTAACCAGAGCACACAGAAAGCTACATAACCCATTCAACTGCCCTATGTACAATAGCACTTGAACAGAGCATAGAGCCCACAACTTCCCCCATTTACAGAGAAAAACCAGAGGCTTCACCTAACCAAGGAATTCAGTACACACTCTGGTCTGATGCAATACCCAAACAATGAGCTGTGTCCCATCCCACTGCCCTGCTACATCAGGGAAGCAAATTTATAGCCCCACCTACTGCTGAATATGGTACCTACTCTAGACCATCTAGTAAGCCTGAACAGAGAATCCAGGCGATCATGGAGCCCATCCCTACAACCTCACTTGGATAAGAAACCAAGCCAGCAGTCCTGTCCAACTGTTCTCAGCCAGTGGCACAATCCCCCATTCCTTACTGTTTGAATAGTTGTATTATGCAACTATTGACTGTGGCAAAAATTGACTGTAATAATAGGACTCACCTGCCCAAGGACGTAAACAGCAGATGGACACCGAGAAACCCAAACTGAATTGACTGGTCGATAATTGTCTCTGCCAAACCAACCTGTGAAATCTGAGAGTGAAGCCCAGTTATTCAAATGTGCAGACAATAATATAAAATTCAAGGATCATGAAAAATCAGGTAAATATGACACCCAAAGGAAACTAATAAAACTAACTGACCCTAAGGAAATAGAGATACATGAGCTGTTAGATGAAGAATTAGAGTAAGACTCTTAAGGAAGTTCAGTGAACTTCAAGAAAACACAGACAGTTGAACAAAATTAGGAAAATAATGCATAAACAAAATGAGAAGTTCAATAAGGAAACAGAATGATCAAAACAAACAAACAAATACAAAACAGGAGTTGAAAAACACAACAATTGAACGGAAGAATTCAATACATAGTTTCAAAACTTGATTCAACAAATACAGAAGAATCCATGATCTGTTGGATAGGACTTTGGAAATTTCCCAGTCAGAGGAACAAAA